TTATATTTATATTTATATTTTTGTGATGCTGCCCCCGTCCACAGCAGTACATTACTTTGCTCTCATGCTGGTACTCCGCCTGTCGACCGCCGTCTACACCGGTTATGGATAACAACCTCATACAACTCTATTTCAAAACACCCGAACAATCCCTTTTTACTCTCCGCCTCAGAACAAAACATGTTTGCACCTGGAGGATTGTTTGGTCTAGAACTGGGCTCCTCTCATGTTTGCATAATGGACCCACAGTGTACAGACCTGCTTGAGCTGTATTTTTGTAAACATCTGAAACACATGACACAGAGCGACTCCCAGTTCACGTCCCGTTTTCCATCATGGAATTGACTGTATCATGTCATCGTATCGATCCTGTAATTGATTCTGTGAAGACGAGGGCACTGGCAACATACTCTGTCATCCCTCAGTGCCAGCAGCGCTCTTGTTTAATTGCAGGCTAAGGCGCTGGTTTTTCTTGTTGCCTTTGAAAAGCCTCATTGATTTTTATACCACCCTTCATCCTTGCTCGGCTCCGTTTTAACAGTAAATCCCTGGTGTCGAAGTTGCCCAGAATGTAAAAGTGTGAAATCTGTCGGTGCTTTTCACGAGGCTTCCAGGTGCTGTTCATACACGGCAACTCTGATGGTGAAAAAGGCCGGCTTCTGTGCTTTAAACTGAGGAAGGGAGAAGAGAGGCTGAGCTACATCGTGCCAGTCCCTGTCTCCTATGAGACCAGTTGAACGTGAGGTTGTGTTGGAAGGTCAAAGTTCATCACTCTGCCTGTTTGGATTGTTTTGGGTTAAAATCTTAGGAGAAAAGATTTAACTCCAGTTTTGCAGTATTTTTCTGTTCAACCGGCAAATCAGTTTAATTTACTTTTGTTTATGATGTGTCTGAATTTATGGCTCCTGGAGAAGAAATACATTATACTTTGACAATACGTTGCATCTATTAAACTGACGCCAGTAATCCAAACAGGAATTGTAATAGATTTTGTCAGCCTATAAACTGCAGTTTAGAAATAGATATATCCAGTGCGTTAGGGGTCTATATAGAACAAAAATATCCTAAATTTAATTTGATTTGCATTAATTTGAGAAGCAGCTTATCCAACATGAACTTGCCTTGAATTAGAAATAGGTTCTCATCATGTCCCTGGGATTGCAGCCAATTTATTGGATTCAGTTTTTTCTCTCTCTCTCTGAGGCTCAGGGAGGAGGATGATCTCAAAATGTTATCACATGACACCACGTGATTGATGGACCATTAAAATGTCAGCCAGATGTACTTAAAACCACAGCTTTTAGGTTGATAAATTACAGCACAAATGGATACATAAAGCTGTTAGAAACAAATATTCCCATCTAGAGCTATTCTGCAGTCAGAAAGTAATGGATTTTCTATCTGCTCGTCTCTGTATCTTTCTGCACATTTTCCCCTCTCCCAGTGTCTCACGACCACTGCAGTCATGTAATTACAATGGTACAGGTAGGAGTGTTCATATTTCATCTGCTGCATTCACGATAACATCTCATAATCCGAAAGCGTTGCAAAATTGGTATCTCGTTGCTCATGCATTATGAATGAGTCACTGATTGCTTTTTTGCATAGATTAGCAATCATTTCACAGAAATCGTTCGTATAAAAATGTGCCAGGAGGGTTCTATCTCTTTTTCTGAAGAGTCGAGGTGACACATCCCGTCGCTTCTTAAGATAAGGCGGATCAGGTGATACCACTTTTCCCCCTTGCCCCTCTGCTCCTTCTTTTGCTCTCTGATTTATTTCTCTATGCATATCATCATGGGGTCGGGGATAAGTGTAATTTTCAGCCCACTTTGCAACTGATTGCTCACTTAGTGAATATATTCAGCATCTGCAGTGTTATTGTGTTTAGAGCCAAGTGGCTAAGTACCATTGAGATTCTTTGGCATCAAAGTAAACATTTGCTGACTCCAGAAGGGCACCGAGAGAATCAAATCTTCTCCAAAGCTCTGAGATTGTGCTCCCTGCGTATGGATTTCAGTGACCTCTGGTTGTCCCGACTTGAAGCCTCAGATTGGCATAACACATAAGGGGCTCATATGGTCTAGTGGTTAGGAAAATAGGCAGGTGACCAGGTCCCAGCTGAAGTTTACATACCACTTTTTGTTTCCTGGCAGGCAAATAACCAGTTTCACGTGTTCTACGTCACCCAGTGAAATGTCAAGTCAAATGTATTTCACAGGGCATGTAAAGAGTTTTATAAACAGTGTGAGCCGTGCTATGATTGCTTTAATGTTGCTGAGAGGAGTGTGCAGACAGAGTTAAACTTAAAAAGGACTCCGACATAAAAGCTTTGTTGGAAATTTTAATTAAAGCTTTTCTTTGAACTTGGATTCCAGCACTGCCTTGCTGCCGATTGAATAACGAAGTAAAAGTGTCAACAGCAGGAGGTGTGTGTGGACGTTTGGATGCCTGCGTTGCGTCTCCCATCGTAACCCCTGGCCTTTGCCCCCCCCCTCCCCTCCCCCGCATGGGCAGACTCTCAGCCAAGGCCCTGTGGAGGTTGGTGCCCTCTGCCTGACAGCCTGTCACTGTGCTATGGTGGTGATTTTTTTTCTGCAGG